GTGTACTGCGTTTGGCTAACTGAGACTTGACATTTGCACTTATATATTGTTGCTCTTTTGTTAGTTTTGACTGCTTTTATTGTCCTCATTTGTAAGTCGCTTTGGATAAAAGCGTCTGCTAAATTACTAAATGTAAATGTAATGTACATGAGTACATTTATAGAAGCAACTCAAGTAAAATCCATGATAATAACTTAATAACTTAACTTAAATATCAAAATAACAATTAGGTTACAAATTATGGAACAAAGTAATGGTATTTGTTTGGTTTTCGAAATGGATCAATCAGAGCAGACTGTGCTTGTCGGAAGGAGGGACTTTGTAGAAAACGAAGCGTTTGAGAGAGGCGGGGCATAGAGGACCTACAATAATGTACAGTATTTGAAAAATAATGTGTTTTTTGAACATTAAAGCATGTCAACATATTCTGTTACACCAAATACACAAAATAATGATCTTTAAAAAAGCATCATATGACCCCTTTAACATTTAGAAGTGAGTGAAGAAGCTTCAGCGGAGTCCTGAGTGTTTGAGGACATACAGATGAAGAGTGAGTTACCCTGAGGGGGCGTCAGCGGCAGGCCCCTCTCCTGACACCAGCCGATGGGATGAATGTACGGGCTGTGAGCATCACACCTACAGTGAAGAGGAAACTGAGAACATTACCACTTCATTTTCAATAATAAACCTATTCATTTCACACTGCACCTGATATATATACGGTACTATTTAATTTAACCCCTTAACTGTCACCGGGACGGGAGCGGGACGCTAGCGGGATGCCTAAGTTTACTTCAATATATTATGAATAAATCCTATCCTAATCATGGCAAACTATATGTCTTTGGAAAGGTCTAAGACTCCTAAATAGATATTTTACCACTGTTTGTTGTTAAAAATTATGTAGGAACAGTAATAGATTAATTTATGACAAGAGTGCACCTCAAAACATATACTTCATAACAGGAGTTCTGACCTTTGTCACAAAAATTATTTTTCGTTTGCTTTTTTGAAATCGGACATTGCGTTACCATATAAATGGTACTTTAATATCTTTTAGCATGCTCCTCCCCCTTAGTTCGGGGTGTCATATTACAAAATGTATTACGGTCTTTTGGAATCAAAACTTTTTATAATCTTGACAAAATACATATCGTCGGAAAGGTCTCAGTCTCAGGATTTCATATTTGGCGGTTATTTTGTGATAGAAGTAAAGGCTGATTTATACTTCTGCGTCGGACCTACGCCGTAGCTTACGCATAGACGCACAGTCGCACACCCATACGCCGTAGCCTGACGCGCACCTCTCCAACAATCTAACAGCGCGTCAATTCTACGCGGACTGCAAGCGCTGTGATTGGTCTGCAAGAACCCCTCCCTCCATATGTACTTTTGTGTGTTTATGTGTAGTTTTGTGTGTTTATGTGCACTTTAATATATTTTAATGTTATACCTTCTTATATAAAATAAAACAAAGCAAAGAACAAGTGTCTTATCATTTATTATACTACATAGCATTATACATCAGTAGTTGTCCGCAACAAACAATGTTGATCTGCCGTGGTACAAGTCCTTGTGCAGATTGAAAGAATGCCATTATCTCCTGTTCCCCTAAATAGATATTTTACCACTGTTTGTTGTTAAAAATTATGTAGGAACAGTAATAGATTCATTTATGACAAGAGTGCACCTCAAAACATATACTTCATAACAGGAGTTCTGACCTTTGTCACAAAAATTATTTTTCGTTTGCTTTTTTGAAATCGGACATTGCGTTACCATATAAATGGTACTTTAATATCTTTTAGCATGCTCCTCCCCCTTAGTTCGGGGTGTCATATTACAAAATGTATTACGGTCTTTTGGAATCAAAACTTTTTATAATCTTGAAAGGCTATGGCGTAGGTCCGACGCAGAAGTATAAATCAGCCTTAATACTGAGAGAGAAATTTATACATTTGTGACATAAAAATGCATTTAAAAAATTCAATGGAGTTTGGCGTTACCATATAAATGGTACTTTAATATCTTTTAGCATGCTCCTCCCCCTTAGTTCGGGGTGTCATATTACAAAATGTATTACGGTCTTTTGGAATCAAAACTTTTTATAATCTTGACAAAATACATATCGTCGGAAAGGTCTGAGTCTCAGGATTTCATATTTGGCGGTTATTTTGTGATAGTACGGCATAAAGGCTATGGCGTAGGTCCGACGCAGAAGTATAAATCAGCCTTAATACTGAGAGAGAAATTTATACATTTGTGACATAAAAATGCATTTAAAAAATTCAATGGAGTTTGGATGGCACCCGGTGGCTGTTTGTGGTATGACACCTAAACAAAATTGCATAGGAACCTCTTTTTTTTTTTATATCAACTTCAAATTTGGAACATAACTCATTTAGACATATGGCTTTAATTTCATATCAAATTTGGATTAAAACCTATTTTGTAAAATATTTATTTTATATAAAATAAAATAAAAATAGTACAGTACATTTTCTTTACAGTAAATTTAAACTTCTATAACTTTTTTTATGCTTTCATTTTTTTGAAATGATTTCACTTCTGCAATAATCTGCTGATTGTCTTCTTTAAAAAGAGACTTTTGAATATGTCTGTATTCAAAAGTGTTCATGAATTATAACAATGTAAGTTTGACTAGTGCACTTTCACGTCTATGTTCAAAAAGGGGGGGGTGACAGTTAAAAGGTTAAACAAACATGAACAGCAGCTGTAACTCACCAGTAGTCATACGTGTCGTCCCAGTTATCAAAGTGAACCAGGAAGCGGTTGTCCACTTTGTCTGTTACCGTGGCAACACAGATGAGAGACGGGTTCATGCGGTCCACAGCCTCCAGCTTCATCCCCAACTCAAACCCACAGTCTGTCTCTGGCTGCACAGTCAGAAAACCAGCTCTATGTTCACACAGAGTCCTTGGGTAAGAAACCGCAGTACAGGACTAGTGTTTGACTCACTCTGACTGAGCTACAGAACAACTCCTTCGGTGCGGCTTGTGATCTGGTGATCTTTAGGTAGTTGGACCAAGAAAACTCCTCTTCTTTACATCCTGCGAGGGAACAGGGTTGAATGGTTAAAATAAAAACCATTACACAAACTATAATGTACGTGAATTTATAATATAACTGTATGTTAGCACATCTATAGCAGCTGTGATATATAACAGGTGTTAATTTATTTTTTAAAGTACATGTTTTTTAACTATATTACAGCAATAAGACATAAGAGGCCATGTGTTAAGATTTTCTTGACACAAGTCCCCTTACCATGGTAAAATCACTGTACCCTGGCCAAAAATATGACAAAAGACAGAAATATTTCATATAGAATTACATTCATTATTACTCACAGAAAGCACTTTAAGCTAAGTAATACAGTTCATTAGCCAACTGTACGAAACAGCTCAAGAAACATTTCTTATTATTATCAAGCTTAAAATGCTTGTATAAACTGTGATATACTACCACTAATCAAACGCTTAGGGGAAAGAAAAACAAAAACAAAAAAAGAAAGAAATTAAGAGTTTTATTCAGTAAGGTCATGTTTAATTGATCAAAAGTGACAGTAAAGACATTTATAATGTTAGAAAAGATTTCTATTTCAGATAAATGCTGTTCTTTTGAACTTTCTATTCATCAAAGAACCCTGGAAAATAACATGTATCACAGTTTCCACAGAAATATTGTGCAGCACAACTGTCTTCAACACTGATAATAATCAGAAATATTTCATGAGCAGCAAATCAGCATATCAGAATGATTTCTGAAGATCATGTGACACTGAAGACTGGAGTAATGATGCTGAAAATACAGCTGCGCATCACAGAAATAAATTACATTTCAAACCAGAAAACAGTTATTTTAAATTGGAAAAATATTTAACAATATTGCCGTTTTTACTGTATTTTTGATTAAATAAACTTAGCCTTGGTGGGCAGAAGAGACTTTTTCAAAAACATAAAAAAATCGTATTGATTCCAAAGTTTTGTTTAGTGTATGTAATTCAACCTAGAATTGTATGTATGTACAGTCAAACCAAATGTTATTCAGACACCAGATATAATTTTTGATATTTTTTTACTAGTTGGGTGCAGGACACTATAGTTCATTTATGTAAGTGAGGATAGCAAAATAAAGTAAACTGTGACAAATTATACCCAAAAATTCTCCATACAGTGAATGGAGAATCAGTAAAACTGATACAAATTTGGGACCAAAAATGATTCAGACACTTTGACCTAACCTTGTTTTGCTTCAGTGTTATCTAACATTATCAAGATGAATTTGTTCCGACACAGTTTAACTCTGAGTTCTTCTCATATTTTATTACCATTTTCTAAACTATAGTGAATAAACTGTGATAATGTGTGAGATGTTGAAGGTGTCTGAATAAATTTTGGTTTGACTGTACATCACATTGTATGTTTAGGATCTGTTTATTTCTGGTTTGGTTTGTAAGTCACCTTTTGGGGTGTAGAGCTTGTGTCCTGTGCTCTCACACCATCCAGCGGGGTGAATATCAGGGCAGCTGGCGCTGACCCAGAAGTCATGGCAGTCAGAATAGCCATCAAAATGAAGGCGCAATCTGAAGCCACAGACCTAGAGAGCAGAATGACTGGTCACTGAGATTCAGATAGCTCTGCACTGATTATAGTCCAAACCGTCAGAATGTGAGGTGTGCAGCGGTGTTTCAAAGTACCTCAGCGACTGTCAGGACGAAATACATGGAGGAGTGCTGGGGGTCGATGCCTTCTAACTTCATCCCCTGTCTGAAGCTGTTCTTAATCGTGGGAACCCTCTGGGTCTAGACATGGATAAATGTTAATATTGAAAAACAGGAGAAAAATCCATGACTGAACTATAAAGTGCTTGTAATCTCTACTCCGTATTGAAATGAGTCAAGTTAATGTTCTGTGCTCTGATAACACATCACAGCTGCATCATAAAATGTCACTGGAGTTTAAGATGAAAATCACTGGTACAGTGGCGTTATTCCCTTCCTACAGTGAAATACAGCAGTCAAACCTCCTGGAAGTGTCTGGCTGGAGCGGCCACAGCTTTCTGCTGCTCTAGATACTGCGGCCAGGACCACAGCTCCAGCTTACTCTCTGCTGAGCCTACAGAGAGAACTGTTACATAGTTATGCATGCAAAGGACACTGTTTGCATGATCTCTTTATCAGTATTAGCAGTTTGTAAAAACACAGAAACTGACTTCCATTGTAAGCTCACAGTGGTCAAAGCAATGCCATTTTTCATGTTATTTTAGTATAACTGAGATAGTATTATAGTTTTTATAAATTTTTTAAATTAGCTTTTATTTTAATTTTTTACTTTTAAATTTAATGTTTGCTAAAGTTTTAGTTTTTTTTGTGTTTTTGTCATTTGTACAATTTTTTAAATGTCTGTATACTTTATATTAGTTTTTCATTTTTGTAATAATTGTAAATCAAGTTAAAGTAAATGAAAATGAGAAATGTTTTGGCAACTGGCTGAAATAATATTTTTTAAAGATTTTGTTTAATATATATTTTATTTTATTTCGGTAACAATTTAAAATTTTTTCTTTTTTTGGTTTTGGGTTTAGCTTTAGTTGCAGTTAACTAAATTAACATTTGTACATCTAAAGTTATATATATATATATATATACACACACACACACACACACACATATATATACATATGTATATATATATATATATATATGTCTATCAAAATCATGTTGGTAAGAAAAACAAAGCCTGATTTCGACCATCAAGGCCACATCATTTTCAAGAAGTAATGCAGTGATTGACAATTGTGTGGGTGCAGAGTGCAAGTGTATAAAATCTAACTTTAGTTCATTAGTGATGGTTTCATAAAATAAAAGTGTGATGAAGTACCTGCTTTGTTCTGTCTGCCATCCATTTTTAAAGCCTCCACTTTCTCCTCCTTTTAATGACACATGCATTTCATTGCATTAGAACTAATGTAAAAATATACATCAAGCACAGCAATGAGATTAATTAGCAAAAGAACTGCACCATTGGCTCAGCATCAGACTCTTCCTCTGATGGGCTGTTGTATTCCCTCCTCTTTCTCTTCTTCATGGGCTTCAGCATTTCATGCTCATGATAGATCACCTGTGCTTCTGCAATCCCTGCAGGACTAAAGCATCCATACAGAACATCATACTGATAGAATAACCTCAATATCCTTAATCTGACTGTAATAAGTACATGATTTTTTTTTTTTTGAATAGCAGAAATCTGCTGCATACATATTTATATATTGCATGAGAAAAATAGATGTGTAAGTCTAGTAGTTAATTTACTGTTCAGCCATCGTCTCCCGGCGTAGCTCTGTCAGGTACGTCTGTTTGCCCGGTGTCTCAGTGCGCTTGCTATGAGCTGGACTGTCCTGAGCCTCCATACACTCTCTCTGAAGTCTGTCAGCCTCCACAAATGCACTGGACCTGACATTCCCACCTGCTGAGACGTCTGCAAGCAAAGACTCCCGTTTGTGATGGTGCAATTGGAAAGACAAATGCTAATATCTTTAAGATTTGATGCATGTTAGATATTGATTACAGGATCCTGAATTAACGTTTTCACACCTGCAAATGGTGCAGAAATTGAGAAATTTCAATATTTCTCACCGGTTACTGAACTTGTCATTGGACTACTGTTCTTCCAGCTTGAGTTAAACTGTAATAAATTTGTAATAAATAAATTTGTCTCCAGCCTGTTTCCACCCAACTGACATTTTACTGATGCTGTAATATAAAAAAAAATTGTTTTTTTAAATCTGTATCTTTTTTTTTTAAGATTTACTCAGATCTTCGTAAATGGAGAGCACAACTGGCTTACTAATTTCACACATCATTTAATATTATTAAATTAGTAAAAATCAGAAGATGCTGCTCTTCTAAGAGGACTGCAACTGCCTTTGTGCGATGAAGATTATGAGTCTGGATACAATAGGACAGCTCACTCTTATTCTGTATAGTGAAAAAATATTCAATCTTTGCATATAGCAACAATCTTTATCATGCAGTTAAACCCGCTGCGGTTTGAAAAGCTGCCTGTGATGACTTGGGCCATTCAACTATAATATGCAAAGTGAAGTTCATGGGACAATAAAAATACTGATATGGTGAAAAATGTTCAGAATTTAGATTTTGTTAGATCATTTCACTATGTATGAGGTCCAAATAGATAGAAAGCATCCTTGAACATTACAATAAAACAGCGCTTTAATAGGAGTAACATACTGATGCAGAGGCATGTGTAATTCAGCCCTTTGATTGACAAAAAGTGTTTCCAAATTAGTCAATACAAGCAAAATTTTATTGATAATTAGAATTTCAATCAGCTACATCAGTAAACATTTCGATGTGCCAAACTATTTCTTTAAAAAGGAAATCCTTGGATGGAAACTTGGCTTGTGTTTGGTTGCAGGTCCTAATAAAGCAACTAAGCTCATTTTTACTCCTGCTTGGTTAATTTTGAGGCCTGACTGATTATACTTTTGTTTATAAAATGCTATAAACTGACAGCCAGACTTCAAAACATCATAAAGCCATGCTTGTAATAATCCAGAGGCCTCTAATGAATAATTACCTGGTTTCTCAGCTTGTTTGATATCAGCTGATTTTGTCTGCGCTCCTTCAGTGGTCAGGTTAGCAGAGCCTATTTTCCCTTTATTGATCACTTCCAGTGAACCAGTATCACTAACACATAACTGTAAAAAGCAGAATAGTGTTGTTGTTATGCAGTAATAAAAAGTAATACATATTGCCGTCAGGAAGTATTCAGCACACTAAGTAAATGCTTTCTTTTCCCACTCCAGTGATAAGATTTCTTCCACTCCTTCAACAGAGATTGCCTTTCTGTTCATCACTTTGACTGGTGAGATAGCAACCTCTGTCTGCAGTTTTTGACATTTTAAAGGGGTCATGAACTGAGAAATCAAAATCAAAAAATATTTTGACATATAAGAGGTCATTGTACTATAAAAACGTCCTGTAAGTTTCAGAACTCAAAACTTTCTCATTAGTCTAAAAACAGCTTAAATTGAAGCCAATCTGCCAAAAGGACAGCTTGTGGAATGTGCCACTTTATGACGTAATAGTGTGTCTAAACCCCGCGCCTCTGCAGATTAAGATCAACGCCTGCTTCTACATCACTGTCTGTTTAGCCCCGCCCACAGATTCCACAACACTGCCTGTTTTGCTCCGCCCACCGATTCTACATCACTGCTTGTTTAGCAACGTCCACGGATTCTACATCACTGCTTGTTTAGCAACGTCCACCGATTCTACAGCACTGCCTGTTTAGCTCCGCCCACCAATTCTACATCACTGCTTGTTTAGCAACGTCCACCGATTCTACAGCACTGCCTGTTTAGCTCCGCCCACCAATTCTACATCACTGCTTGTTTAGCAACGTCCACCGATTCTACAGCACTGCCTGTTTAGCTCCGCCCACCAATTCTACATCACTGCTTGTTTAGCAACGTCCACCGATTCTACAGCACTGCCTGTTTAGCTCCGCCCACCAATTCTACATCACTGCTTGTTTAGCAACGTCCACCGATTCTACAGCACTGCCTGTTTAACTCCGCCCACCAATTCTACATCACTGCTTGTTTAGCAACGTCCACCGATTCTACAGCACTGCCTGTTTAGCTCCGCCCACCAATTCTACATCACTGCTTGTTTAGCAACGTCCACCGATTCTACAGCACTGCCTGTTTAGCCCCGCCCAGACTCCACATCACTGCCTGTTTAGCTCCTCCCATCGATTCTACATCACTGCCTGTTTAGCTCCGCCCACCGATTCAAGCATGTAATGCAGAAAATGCAGAAACCAAATGATAAAGATGCTCTGAAGACAACAAGACGCTGTGCAGTGCCAAGCTGGAAAAACAGCCTTTGCATCGCCTTCCTTCTGATCCCAACATTAGGAAAGAGTGGAAGAACTTTATTTTTAATGAAGATCCTGATCACGTCAGTAAGAACTTGGTTCTTTGTTCACTTCATTTTACCGCGGATTCGTTTACAGACAAAGGGCACAATTCAACACAGGATTTTCAGAAAGATTGAAACTGAAAGACAATGCTGTACGACTATATTGGATCCGACAGTAATGGCGCACCACACAAGTGTGAGTAACTGTTTTTATTACGTGCTCACTATTGCTTTGTCTGTTATTACTGATGGTTTGATATGTATTTATGTGTTTTTAACCTAAATCACAGCAGCGTCCATCTATGAAGGCTGTAGGCTGTTAAACATACACAGCTGTTAGCCAATCACAGCAGTGGGCGTTTGTTTCTGAGTCTACAATCCAGGGGCATGGGAAGATGTTTTAGGTTGTGGCCGGGGGTGCTGTACGCGCGGGGCGATAGAAGCTATATACACTTAGTGAAAATATCAGTATTTTTTTGTGATATCATATGCTATTTACACTAAGTGCAAATAGCTATTCTATTTATACTATGTTAAAATAGCAGGATATTCTGCTAATTACTTATTGCAAATAGTGGCAATTATCTGCACCTCAGCATTGTAATACATTATAAAACAGTGTGCAATAATAACTTATTGAGTGTAAATTTTAATTTTAATTCAAATTATTAAATGGATGCCACCTTATTGGGACAAAAGCCCTCACTACACCTACCATAACCCTACCTACCCGATACTTTATTTTCAACTTTTTGATTATTTCCTTCCTTTTTATTAAAAATAAATGCTTTTCTGATGTGATTTGAAATTTGAAAAGGGAGAAAAAAAGTTCGCCAAAAGGCAGATTCGAACCCTGGTCGATCGCGTCAAAAGCAAGAGTAGGCTATAACACACACTTTACCATCTACACCACTGAATCTGATGATTAATGACCGTCTTTTGTAATGTTGACTATCCCAATCACACGGTGCTGGGTGGAGTTAGTGTAAATAGCCTTTGCCAACAAGGCGGGCTATTTGCACTTAGTGTAAATAGACACTCCGATCTTTTTCAATTCCCAACAGTTAAACAGTTGAACCACAGAAAAAAACAGGGGGTGCTGCAGCACCCTCAGCACCCCCACTTCCCGCGCCTATGCTACAATCCGTCACACCTATTCAAACAGAGCGTTCAGATGAGGGGGTCAAAACAGGACAGAAAATAGCCTTTTACTTCTAAATGATGATGTATTTTGATGTAAAAATCTTGATAACATTATAAGTGGACCTCAGAGAACCGTACAAAATAATAAAAAAGGCAGTTCATGACCCCTTTAAATCACCAGATCTTCCCTCTCTACACTGGTCATCATGGGAACTGCACTCCACTGGGCTGATACCAGGACAGGCAGATCCTTCAGGGTATCGGTGTCTAAATCACATCGGCTAACTACTGGGGTGCCTCAGGGTTTGGTGTTTGGCCCTCTCCTCTTTCCATTATCCACAAAATCACTGGGACCTATTATCCATGCACTCAGATTTCCTAGCACTGCTATGCTAACAATACAGAGCCTGCCTTGTAGACGACACCTCGGCCTGGAAGAAAGAACGTCACCTTCAGCTCAATCTATTTATAATGCCATCCATTTCAGGCAGGAACTTCTCAAACCACATCCCAAAGATCACACAATCATGCAAATTTACACTGTACAACATCAGGCATTTAAAGTCACTTGAGCGTTTGATTTAACATTTTGAGATGTTCCTTTGAGCATTCGATTCATTATTTGAGTATTTTTTATTTTATTTTATTTTTATTATGGCAGCATTGTATTGGATTACGAAAATCAGTTATCAAACACAATATTTATTTTTGTTAGAGTTTATGCTTCACCATATGAGGAGATCAAATGGCATTTAACTGATCACTTGACAGGCTTTTTTTTTATTTGATTTTTATTGTTTTAGAATTGGATTTTCATAACATATGGCAATTTTGGGCACTTGGTTTATCATTTCAATTATGCAAGGAAAAAACCTTCCTGCATTCTTAACATGACATGCATATGTTGCAGAATTCCTCATTTATAAGTTGCTTTGCATAAAAGCATCTGCTAAATGAATGTGTCACGAATCCTGTCCATGGACTTCCGTTCGATCACCACCAGAGGTCACCCATCCATTACATTGACTCTCGCACTACACAAACTGTTGCATGTCATCCCAGACTACATATCCCATCATCCATTGCACTAATTGCACACAGCTGTAACCAATCACACATTCACTATATAACACTCACTCAGATCCCTTTTCAGGGCCGAGTATTGTAAGCGCATATCACTCACCTAG